AAAAAAAAAAAAAAAAAAAACTGTTCAGGAAAAAGCAAATCTGTCCGGGCCATGGAAGGACTAAGCCTCCAGCTTGTAGTTTAAACCCACGTGGCACCAAGTGATGGGGGAGCGATCAGACGCTTAAAAGAAATCCCACACTAGCTCAAAACTGAGAGATAGATAGTTATTTATTTAGGGGACAAATTCACAAATCAGATTTCTCTGCTTGAACGGTGGATGGAAAATGGGATCCAAACAATCCATACAAGGAAATGGAAACCGGGGGATGAGAGAAGGGCCGGACACGCTTCAGCAGCCCGGTAAATAGTATAAGAGGCCACACTCCAGTAGGTGGGTAATTACAAGCTGTATACCTTCCTGCAGCAGGGGTGGGCCAGCAAGATGGCTCAGTGTGGAGACATGACAACCCGAATTCAGTCCTCAGCTCCCACAGGGTAGATGGAGAGAACAGGCTTCTACAGGTTCTTCTCTGCCCTTCACACAAATGTTGTTGTGTGCACCTGCACATGGGCACACTGAGACACTTCTGTCCATGCAGCTGCTGTGGCATACACGCACACTTGCACACACTGAAACGGATGCCTTCACAAAAACACACATGTAGTACATAAGCAAATATAAAAAAATCACACGAGTATAATAATTGTCATTAGCTCCAAATCTGATAACTAAGTAAATAAACCCATGGAACACATTTCTCCTTCAATCCTTCCTTCCTTCCTTCCTTCCTTCCTTCCTTCCTTCCTTCCTTCCTTCTTTCCTTCCTTCCTCCTTCCTTTCTTCTTTCCTCTCTTTACTGCTGCTTGAATATTTTCCAGGAAGTGAATCTTCCAAAGAGGTCACACTAATCCCTGTCCTCACAAAGTCCTGCTTCAAGTGGACCTGACATTCGAGCATCCAAAAAATAAAGTCAGGAGCTGACTGGAAGCACACAGGGAACAGAGAAAAGATTCAGAGTGAGAGTCCTCTAGAAGAGGAAGTCAGAGAAATATTCTTCCTCACACCAAATATACTATGTGAGGAGGTATATGGGGACACTGTGGGGGGGGGGGTCAGCTGAACCTGAGTACAGAATTCCACAGAGAGCAAATAATAGGCTCTATGCTTGCTCACCTCCATCAATGAGGTTGGGCATATCCCTAAGGTGAGTAGTGTCACCCCTGCTCAATATTGGTGGCTTTTCTCTGTTCCCTTTTAGCCTTCCTTTTAACCTGTTGGCACCTGCCTACCACTGCCCAAGTCACCATCGAATTAGTGCCGCCCCAAGTGGTTGAAGGAGAAAATGTTCTTCTACGTGTTCATAATCTACCAGAGAATCTTCTAGCCTTTGTCTGGCACAAGGGGGTGAGGAATATGAGCCTTGGAATTGCACTACATTCATTGGACAAGGGTTTAAGTGTGACAGGGCCCATACACAGTGGTAGAGAGACAGTGTACAGCAATGGATCCCTGCAGATCTACAATGTCACCCAGAAGGACACAGGATTCTACACCTTTCGAACCATAAATGGACAAGTAGGAGTTGCATCAATAACAACCACGTACCTTCATGTGTACAGTAAGTTATTCTTGGTGAACTCTGGGTGCTGGGTGGGGTTCATTCTACTGGAGACACACAGAAATATCAACTCTAGCCTCTGTTTACCTCTCCTCTGCATGTGTCCCCATGTTTGTATTTAATCATTTACTGCAGGAAACATATTGTGAAGAATAATGGCAATAGATCAGAATCCTTCACTTCATCTTGCACACAGGTGGATGCATGGCAGGTAACTCAGCCAAGAATATCAGCCTCTGTCTAGACTCTAGGGGTTCTTAGCAGGAATGTGTCCCCGAGAAAGACCTAGTGATGACTGCAGTCAGGATGGATCTGTCCCCTTCCCCATGCATCACTCACCAGTCCCTTTGAAGCCTCACAGACATCCCTGCACCTTCCTGCTAAGAGGATATTCCATCTTTTCAAAGCATTGAGAACTCAGGGAAGACTGGGTGCCCAGATGGGTTTCTGTGTTCCACAGGGAGTGCAGAGGCTCCCTCTTAGCTCTGACAGCCTCAGGGCCAGGACACAGCAGAGACAGCTCCAGGGCGATCTGTGTTATATTAAGGCACAGGGATGCTCATCAGCCCTTTTGATCACCATGTAGTCTGGAGGACTGAAACATAAAGAGGGAAGTAGAGAAGGTTATGGGGCAGCACTGAGAGTAAGGGGCAGAGCAGTGTTTTAAAAAGAGAACACCCACAGCCCATGGAACTCTGGGAGATGCTCCTGTCTGGAAGGAGGCTCAGCTCAGATGAAGGAAGGACAGTCAAGCAGACATGCCACAGGGGGAGGACAGATAAGGTCACAGAGACTAGAGATACAGCCTTGTATCCCTCTGCAAAGGATCACTGATTTTCAGGGACTCTTGCTCACAGATGAGTAGACCTCAAGTTGACAGTATGAGAGGAGAGGACTGACCTACTGTCTTGAGTCTCCCAAGAAGGACTAGGACATGAGCGGAGTCTTGGGGTTTGTTGGGGTGAAGACATAGGTCATGCAAGAGGGTCAGCAACAGGAAACTTTTTCTTATTCTTGATGAATATGGAAAAGTAAGGGGTTGAGGGATTGTTCTCACTCAAACTTAATAAGCATGGCCACAGAATTCTGAAGACTGATGTTCTCAGCTTGCTGTCTTAAAGAAAAAAAATCAAGCTGGTATTGGCCAGAGATGTGACTCCGTAGACATAAGCATTTACTTCATTGTCTGGCAAGCTGAGACTAATGAACACAAGTCCTCTGACCTCCGCCTTGGTACTGACTCATGCATCCACTCCCACACAAACATAAATGAGCATTAAAAAAATCAAATCAAACAGAAAAATTCAACTCTGTATTCCCAAACCTATGAGTTTCTTAAGAAAATCCCTGGGTATACAGGGTCCTGAAACATCATTCGTTTATTCATTCTCCACAGGTGTCTGGGTTTTCCTAGGCATCATTTCTTTTTTTTTTTCATGAAAGAATTTATTTTTTTTCTTTTTTTTAGGCATCATTTCTTTAAAAAAAAGTAAGATTAATAAAGGTTCTCACAAATCCCTAGTCCTAGTGGACTGAAGTAAAGAAAGCTAGGTGAAGTCAGGTGTTGACTGGAACCACAAGAGGGAAGAACACAAGCAACAGAAAGTCAGAGAGTCAGGTGTCAAGGTCTGTAGGGAAAGATGTCAGAGAGACATGTTCCCAACACCAATCTACACTTAATGTAAGCAGGGGTCTGAGGGCAGTGATCCTGATCAGAGGGTGACATACAGAAGAAATGACAAGTTCAGGGACATTGAGGACATGTAGTTTGTGTACTCACTTCCACACAGTAGAACAGGAAGACACTCACCCACACACCTAGTCTGAGCAATGGACACACCTGCTCAGGACACAGATGCAAAGGTCCCAATAATGATGGACATCACTCTCTTCCCTTCTAGACTCCCTTTTGAACTGTGGGCGCCCTCCCACCTCTGCTCAGCCCACTATTGAATCAGTGCCGCCCAGAGTTGCAGAAGGGTCAAGCGTTCTTCTACTCGTCCACAATCTCCCGGAGAATCTTCTAGCCCTTTTCTGGTATAGAGGAATTGTTGTATTCAAGAACCTTGAGATTGCCCGACACGTAATAGCCAGAAATTTAACTATCCTGGGTCCTGGACACAATGGTAGAGAGACGTTGTACAATAATGGATCTTTGCTGCTCCAGAATGTCACCAGGAAAGATGCTGGATTGTACACCCTACGAACTCTGAGTACAGATCTGAAAGTTGAAGTATTACATGTGCAAGTCCAGGTGGACAGTAAGTGATTCTCTGTGATCATTTTGTGCTGGGTGGGGCATAGTCACACAGGACTGTCATGCATGATTGTGCACACCTCCCCTCCAGACTGTGTCCCCTTGTTGAATTTTGAGGACTTAGTGCAGGACACACATGGTGGAGACAAGCTGCCATAAATCAGCCTATGTCATTTTCTCCACCCTCAGAGAGGAGGGTGTGTGTGTGTGTGTGTGTGTGAGAGAGAGAGAGAGAGAGAGAGAGAGAGAGAGAGAGAGAGAGAGAGAGAGAGAGAGAACTCAGGTCCTGGGTGGAGTCTCCAAGGAGGACAAGATTCTGAAGAAGAATCAAGGTGTTGTCTTTCTCCCTCAGCGGAGATGACGCAGAGGAGGACGAAGGCTCAGCAGCAGGAAGTTCTCAGTGAACAGGAAATGATAATGGGTAGGGATGAAAGCCAGAGTGTTCTCTATTAAGTGGTGATCGTGTTGGCTACTATATTCTGAAGACTGATGTTCTCAGCTATAACAGGGTGACACAGGGAAGAATCGGACCTGGTTGGGTCAGTGAGGTGTTTCAATGAGTGAAGGCAAATTCTGCCAGGCCCAGTGACATGAGTTTAATCCTCAACTCCCACGTGATGAAAGGAGACAGCCCTCTGACTCTTCAAAGCTGTCCTTGGTCCCACATCTGGTACTGTGGTACACACCTGCATGTATGTACATCTATGTAGGAATGCACTTGTGTTCACACCTGCATGCATTCACACACACATGAAATTGAAACAAATGCAAAAACTTAAATCAAACGGGGTATCAACTAGCCACAAAGCTGAGAGTTTCATAAATAAAACTCTGGATATGCTGGATCTTGAAACATTGGTTGCTCATTCGCGCATTCATTCATTCATTCATTCATTCATCCTCCACAGGGGTCAGAATCTTTTCTGGGTAGCATACATTTCTAAAAATGTGAGATTAGCCCTGGTCTTCACGAAACCCTATTCTAAGTGGACTTGAAGACAGGCCAATATAGAAAACTCGAAGGTGAAGTTAGGTGTTTACTGGAAGCACAAGAGGAACAGAACAGCAACAAAAAGAGTCAGAGAGTGAAGATTCAGGGTGTGTAAGGGAAGAGGTCAGAGATGTGTCACTCTAACACCAATCTACACTGAATGTGAGCGGGGGTCTGAGGGCAGTGGGCCAGGCCCTTTTTGACACCTAAGCAGAGAGTGCTATGCAGAGGAAATGACATGTGCATAGACACTGAGAACATGTAGATCATGGGCTGCCCTCTGCCCAGTAGAACAGGGAGACAGTCACACACTTAGTTTGAATGATGTTAGGATATACGGATACATCTTAACCAAATATAAATGCCCCATATTGATCAATCTCTGTTGTCCCTTCTAGGCTCCCCTTTGACCCATGAGTGCCCTCCTCCCTCTGTGCATACCACTATTGAATCAGTGCCGCCCTTCATTGCAGAAGGGTCAAATGTTCTTCTAGTCGTTCACAATCTCCCAAAAAATCTACGAGTCCTTTTCTGGTACAAAGGGGTGATTGTGTCCAACAACTTTGAGGTTGCCCGACATATAATAGCCACTAATTCAAGTGTGCTTGGCCCTGCACACAGTGGCAGAGAGACTGTGTACAACAATGGATCCCTGCTGCTCCAGAATGTCACCTTGAAAGACTCCAGATTTTACACTCTGTGGATGCTGAGTACAGATCTGAAAATTGGATTAGCGCATGTGCAACTCCTGGTGGACAGTAAGTGATTCTCTATGATTGTTCTGGGCCAGGTGGGGCTTAGTCACATAAGACTGTCATGCCCCTTCTCCCCTCTGCACTGTGTCCCCATGTACACAGGATGCACATGGTGGAGACAATGATCACAGATCAGACTCCGTCATCTGACTCCCCCATGTATCAAGGAAGAATTTGATGGAAATTATCCCAGACTAAGATGTCTGAGTCAGTTCAGTCTCCTGAGGCTCATCCCATGCATTGGAGGAAGACACCAGAGGAGAGAATTCTATTTAGAGAGTTCTACATATAGAGGTCCTGGGGGAACGGAGCTCATGTTGCTGACCTCCACAAAGTGGGATGGCGCACCCATGCTTGCACAGCTAGGGTGAATGATGAAGCCGTCAGCTCAGGTTGGAGGTTGTCATCTTTCTACCAAGCAAAATTGATCCCAAAGAATTTTTTTTCCCTCGTTTTCCTTACAGCCTCCCATTCTACATGCTGTAAACCTCTCATGATTGAACCAGTGCCACGAAATGCTGCTAAAGGGGAAAGTGTTCTACTTCTTGTTCACAATCTGCCAGAAGATGTGAGAACCTTTTCCTGGTACAAGGGAGTGCTTAGCATCCAGATCTTTAAAATGGCAGAATACAACAGAGCCATGAATTCCATCACCTGGGGACCTGCCCACAGTAGAAGAGCAATGGTATACACCAATGGATCCCTGCTGCTTCAGGATATCACGGAGGAAGATGCAGGATTGTACACACTAGAAACTATAAATAGAGATTTGAAAATTGAAATGACACATGTGCAACTCCATGTGAAATGTAAGTGACTCACTCTACGGCCTCCAACTGCTGGGTGTAGATTATCCTACTCGTTACACTGTCAGGGCGGGGTTGTGATTATTCTCCCCCCACTGTGTCCCCACACTGAGGTTTGGGACCTTACTGCAGGACACACATAGAGTAATTAAACAGCAATGGATCAGAACTCCTCATCTGTCTTTACCTGCAAAGTGGAGGACCTGTGCTGGGTAAACTCAGCCTCAGGATGTCAACCTCAGTACAGACACTTTTGAGCTCTCACCATGCACTTGTCCCCAGGAAGACACTATGGGAGTCAGGCAGGCCCTGGCTGACGAAGTCTAGTGCTTCACAGAGAGCACTAGGAAGCCCTGTCTGGAAATCATTGTCCCTGGCTAGACTCTAGATGACACTGGCAAGATTTTTGTCACCACTTGAGATTTACTACTGTTAGAGTTGACAGAGAGCAAGGCTTTCTTGGCATATGGAACCAATCAGTGTGCATCCATGAGAGCCATGGTTAGGCCCTCACCTGGACATCTTAGAGACTCGGCAGGAAGAGTATAGCTGCTCAGGTTCCCAGGTCATTACGTAACTGACCTGATAGACACATGAGACCTCACAGGACGGTCCCCAAGTGGAGGAACAATTGAAACAAGTCCTCCTTGTAAGTGATTGTCCTCTGGGGTTCAGCTCTGGGATTCTCTCCTGCAGACAAATAGTAACATAGGCACTGATCTGGACAGCTTCCAGACATGAGTTGCAGTTCTCATAGTCATCTTTAGGTGGCTAGAGAAGGACACAGACTCAACACCTAAAAAAGTATTTCAAGGAGCCATAAGCATACCTTGTAGCCTGGCTTCCACCCCTGCTCCTACAGACATGGAGGACACTGACAGCATTCTCAGATCTACTGACTGCCTCTTATGTTTCTAAGCATACTACTCTACCAGAGGATCCTGGTTGACACTCCCTCCGTGTTGGTACCTCTCATGGGTATTTCACTTACACAGAGGATGGCTGGATCTCAGGAAAGACATAGAGAGACCATTGACACAGCTCAGGCATCACAAGAAGTTATAGGGTCCCTCTGAAACTGTCCCTAGGATGATGGAGTCACCATCCTCTCTCTAGAACTCAGGTCACCTCTTGCTTCACCCCCATATGAAACCCTCACACAGGTGCTCCAGGGCCATATGACAATAAGTCACCCCTTACTGGTGACTCCAGTGAGAACGGTTCTCTTCCCTGTTCCTGGTATTACTCAACTGGTCCCCTTACAGCTCTAAAATACATCTCTGTCACATTCCTGCAGTGAGTACATCCCACCTTCTCAGAGAATTGAGAACACAGGGAAGACTAGGTGCTCTGCTGGGATTCTGTGTCATAGAAGACATGTTGCAAAAAACAGAGCAGAGGGAAGCCCTGGGATGAGCTGTTGATGTCTGATGGCAGAGAAATTATTATTAACTTTGTTCCTTATTGTGTGGTCTGGAGAACTGAAACACACACATAGACAAGGCAATTGGGACACCAGGCAGGTCTAAGAGTGTAAGGGACAGAGCAGGTCCTTGGACACTATCTGTGACAACAGTCACATTACCCTGGGAAGGTCTGCTGCCTGTGAGGAGGCTAAGCTCAGAGAGAGGGATGCTACAGAGCTTGGAGGTGAGTGTTGGAAGAAAAGCTGTTCTCCACAGAGGGAGAACAGAACAGGTTGCTGCCACCTTAGAGGTCCACTGTGTCCTTCCCTGCAAAGGGTGCAGCCCCTCGTAGTGGCTCCTGCTCACAGGTGAGAGAGCACTGCCTTATAGGGTGCCAGGGAAGGGGTGCTCAAAGAACAATTGGAATCTCCTAATATGGAAGACTAGGAAAAGCTCCTTCAAGTTGTCCTCAGACCTCCATCTAGGTGATATCACCCTCATTCTCTCATACACACAGCACCTGCACAAACACCCACACTCATACCCGTTCACACTCACACACCGACTCCCCACACGTGCACAAGTTCATGTAAGCTGGAGTTGTATCTGGTGTCTGTAGCTCCACACATGAGCATTTCATAAACACCTTGACATGCAAATCCATGGACATTTGATCTTCCATCTGCCCACATGTATCTGAGCCTGACCAGGCATCCGGCCTTCTAGAAGGATCACATTAGTTTTTCCTAAAATGGCCCAGTTCTAGTGGACTGGAAGACAGACCAGGAGGTCCATCTTAAAGTGAATTCATGGGTTGACTACATCTAGAGAAGAGGGAGATCAAAGAGGTCAGAAGGTGAAGATTGGGGGTCTTAGAGGAAGAAGTGTGAGAAGGCACCCCATTCCACACATATTCTGTGTGTAAGCAGGCCTGTGAGGACAGTAAGCAAGGAGACACCTTGGGAGAGAGTTCTACACAGAGGAAATGACACAGCCAGGTATGCCAGGGTCATGGAGGTCTTTTCCTTACTTTCCCTGAGTTGGGAAGACACCCCCACCCACCTCACTGAGTGATGGACCTGAGCTTCTCAGTACACAGGGCTTGATCACCAAAGACAAAGATCTCGGTATTGATGAGTTTGTCTCTCTTCCTTTCTAGCCTCCCCTGTAACCTGCAGACAGCCTCCAATCATTACCAAGTTCAGCATTGAATCCATCCCATCCAATGCTGTTGAAGGGGAAAACGCTCTCCTACTTGTTCACAACATCCCAGGGAACCTTCGAGCCTTTTCCTGGTACAAAGGGGTAGGCGTCGTCAACAGCCATGAGATTGTATGGTACATAGTACCCAATAATAGAAGTTTGCTGGGACCTGCACACAGTGGTAGAGAGACTGTGTACCCCAATGGATCCCTACTGCTCCACAATGTCACCCAGAAGGACACTGGATTCTACACCTTACGAACCTTAAATACACAGCTTGAAACTCAAGAAAGACATGGGCACATCCACATATACAGTGAGTGATTCTTTGTGACCTCTGGATGCTGATGGGGTTGAAAGCACTTTGTACACACAGGACGTTCCAGTGCGGACTATGCCTGCCTATTCTTCACACTGTGCTCCCACATTGGGGTTTAAGCATTTAGTCAGGACTCATGTAATGGGGAGAAAGACTGATGTAGACCAGAATCCCATACCAAATTCCACCTGCAGAGTAGGATGTGTGCTGGGTGTCACAGCCCAAGCATGTCAGTCAGTCTCAGCCCATATTCTTGGTGTGTCACCATAAGCATGTCCCTGAGCAAGACCCTGTAGCAGTCAGGAAGGACCTAACTAAGGGAACCATGGACTGCTCATAGAGAGGTGAGCATCAGGAAGCCTTAGCTTCAGACTTCTGTTCCTGACGCAACTTTAGTTGATCCTAAAGAGCATCTCCTCAAGACTAGAATTTGACTTCCTGGCAGAGCTAACAGGGAACAAGTCTTTACTGACTGTTCAAGTTAAATAGATTGTGGAACCAGGTATGCACTGTCATGACAGCTACAGTTAGGTAGGTCACCTGGGCATCTCCTACTCATGAGTCTCAGTGAACAGGTGCCAGGACACAACTCAACTCTTCTGATGGGCGTAGGAGACTTCACAGGAAGGCCAGGGTCCCCAAGAAGAGGGATAGGAGAGACAGGAAGTTTTTTGTCCTTGAGGGTCCAACCTAGGGAATTCTTTTCTGCAGGCAAAGAGTAACAGATGCAGCTCACTGAGATCCCAAAGTTAGCTAGACTTAACTTAAAGACATGGCAATGATCATGCAGTGTGTATCCTTTTATAGGGAAACTTAGGCACAGAAAAGTTAGTGCCTGAATCAGGGTCTCCTGCTCTGCGTGGCATATCCAAAGCACAATATATGACTATGGTCACAGCCCTAACTTGCCTACCCTGGAGGTTTTATTAAGTGTGAACTATGGAGGGGAGGGTTGGGATTGTTGAAGGACTACTATCATTTAGTCTCCTCCTATGTTTCTTTGCAGAGCCTGTGACACAGCCCTTCATGCGAGTCACTGACCCTACAGTCACAGTGGAGAGCTCTGTGGTCTTCACTTGTGTCTCAGCTGACACTGGAATCTCTATCCGTTGGCTCTTCAATAACCGGAGTCTGCAGTTCACAGAGAGGATGACTCTGTCCCCAACAAAGTGTCTACTCAGAATAGATCCTGTCAGGAGGGAGGATGCTGGGGACTATAAGTGTGAGGTCTCCAACCCAGTCAGTTCAAAGACCAGTCTTCCAGTCAGGCTGGCCGTGATTGATGAGTGACTGCTCCTCTCATCCTACAGCAGAGTGGGACATTTATTTATTGATGGGGTAGAAAATGGAGAAACGTTTTGTGGTAAAAATTGTCAGTTACGAGAAACCAAAGACACTGGCACTGGGTTTTGATTCTACTGCATGGACTAGCTTTGTGGGAGCCTAGTCTGTTTGGATGCTCACCTTCCTAGACCTGGATGGAGGGCGGAGGACCTTGGACTTCCCACAGGGCAGGGAACCCTGACTGCTTTTAAGACTGGAGAGGGAGGGGGAAGGGGAGTGGGGAGGGTGGGAAGGAAATGGGAGGAGGGGAGGAGGTGGAAATTTTTAATAAATAAATAAATTAATTAAAAAATGTCAGTTACCACTCAAGTACAGCTAACATGGTGACTCAAGACAATAATCCTGGGATAGATGTGCATCAAGGACAGGCTAGGATTTAAGTGAGACTTGGTCTCCAGAGGAAAATAAAGACATCAATAGAGTTATTGCAACTACAGAGGGTTAATAGGTTGTAGATGAAATATATAGCCAACAGAATCTGTGGGAACAAATTTCAGGAAACCACCAAACTTCTGGATACTCTGATTCCCTTTGTTAAATGGTGCAGTCTTTGCACAGAGATAAACATCTTCCCATACGCTCCAGTAGTTTCACCTAACACCAATGCTCTCTTGACAATGGTCATTTATGTAAAGTGAGGAAGAGGGACAGGGGAAGGGACTGGCAATATTTCTCTGTGGACATAACAGTTTAGTGGTTTCTAAACAGTTTTGATTCCCAGTTGCTTTGATGCACAGAAGTCAAATCCATTGTGTTAGGGCCATTTGGAGTGTTTCCATCCTGGGAGTGGCATCCACATTACAACTTTGCACACAATTCTTTTTCCTGTTAATATACATTTTTGAGATTTTTTTTAACATTAGCAATTTTGAATCACACAACACATTCATATTGCTGTGTATCACCATTGTCCATTTCCAAAGCACTTCTAAGCCCATCATACTCTCTCCCTCCCTGTCTAACCCCATCTAATATGTCCATGTATTTGACAAAATAGGACATCCAACTATTTGTGGTCAGTATTAGTTTACAGAAGTACAGCTCAGGTGGGTGTGCTTGCTAGCCAGTTTCAGAAACTTCTTTGAAATCTTTAGTATTCTCTACAGATAAGTTCATGTCTTCTACAGACATATTTTACAGCTGATTGATTGGCCACCCGACAATTCTTTGCCTTGCCTAATTGTTCTGTCTAAGACTCTTAAGGGAATACTGAACAGAAGTGGCCACAGCAGCATCCTTGTGTTGATCCTGATCTTAGAGGGACAGCTGTCAGTGTCCCCACTAAGTAAGGGGCTGGCTGTGGGTTTCCACATGCACGCCTACTGTACTGGTTTATCTTCTGCCCCTAGTTTGTCTGTTTTCATCATTAAAACCTGCTCATTCTTGTCAAATGTCTTTTTTGATCAGGTATGTGTTCTTCATGAAATCAGTTTTGTGTCTCTTCCTGCTTCCATATCAGTAGGTTCTATGGCTTTTAGAAATTTGTCTGTTTCATCTAAGTTATTCTTCAGTTAGTACATAACTATTGAGTACTCGTGGAATTCTTAGTATTCTAAGAATGAATAGTAAGGTCTCATATTGCACTTCTAATATTAATAATGTTAATATTTTTTTTGGTTTTTCAAGACAGGGTTTCGCTGTGGCTTTGGAGCCTGTCCTGGAACTAGCTCTGTAGACAAGGCTGGTCTCGAACTCACAGAGATCCGCCTGCCTCTGCCTCCCGAGTGCTGGGATTAAAGGCGTGCGCCACCATCGCCCGGCTAATGTTAATATTTTTAAAACAAAGTTAATATAGTTAAAGGTTCTTAAAACTGTTAATCACTTTGAAGAATAAACTTTTGACCCATTGATTTTTCTCTACTGTTATTATTAATTTGTATCATTATTCTAACCTGTGGGAACAGAGGCAGAAACCATGGAGGAATGATACTTCCTGGCTTGCTCTCCATGGTTTGCTGAGTTACCTCTTACTTGTTCATCTTAGGATCACCAGCCTAGGAATGACATCAGCCACAGTTGGCTGGACACTCACACATCAATCAATAACCAAGTTAGTGCTCCATGGACATGCCAACAGACCAAACTAATGAAAGCAATTCTTTGAATTTCCCCAGGTGTCTCTAACTTGTATCACATAACACAAACTAGCCTACACACTGCTCAAACACATCTGGAGCATCAGACTTCTTTCAGCAAGACATTGCGACTGGTTTCTACAGGTCAGAAAATCAGTATCCACCTAAACCTCAAGAAAGCTGTCTACATGGTCCACATTTATGAGAAGGAGTGTTAAACCCCAAGAACAAAAAAGGTGCTTCTGTTTCAAAGCCTGCCCTGATCTTTCCCATGTTTAGATTGTTCCTTGATTCATTTTTTTTATCCTTAGGTAACTAGTGGCTCATATCAGCCATCACAAAACATCTAAGCAGAATGGTTTATGTTGCTGTCCAGTTAGACCACTACGCTGAAAGCCAAGCCTACTTCTAGTCTCACGGGTGAGATTTCTGTTTACACATCAAGTCTTGAGGAGAAACTGTGCATGCTTCTCAGGAAAGCAACACGGGGACTCTTGTCACTACCTATCTATAGGACAGGTTTGGACAGCAAGCTTTGGAGACTTTTGAGACCATTGGCTCAGGCTGAGCAGTGGAGGTCAGAGACTCTAGAGGGATACAGTAATTTGGGCTGCAAGGTTCTCCTAAGTCTATCTACTTCAAGTTCTGTAGCTGGGTCCACAGATGTGCTTCTTGACCCATTGAGCACATAAGGCCCCACCATAGCTGAGCTTTCAGAATCACATGCATCTGCCTGTGATTCACCTTCTCATTTACTCTCTTCAGATTGTGGTTGGGAGGGAGACAAGAGGCCAACACTAGTGGAAAGGGACCCTTGTAATAGTCAAAAGTCTCACACAGGGCAATCTCTTCTCTGTTGTCTACACAGCATGATTACACACAACTTCAGCAACAACCACAGCCCAGTGAAGGGTGAGGACTCAGTAGCATTAGCATGTGGACCAGAGATTCAGGATAGAACCTACCCTGTGGTGAAATAGTGGTCAGGGCCTCTTAGAAGGTGATGGGCTGAGGCTGTCCGAGAGCAATAGGACTCACTCTGAGTGTCCTGAGGACCCACATGGGACCCTGTTAGTGTGGAATCTGGAACACAATGAAGGCAAAACAATGTGGCCCAGTCAACTTGTGAGTTAGTTTTATTACACCATGACCAGATATAGGTTGTTCAGCTTCTTATTATTCCATGACACAGACCCACCAATTTGCTCATGCAGTTCTAACCAGGTTTATTCTGGAGCTAAGACAAGGGACTTCTCTTGTCTGGAGAAACTCAGGGTTATAATCTGTGATAGAGAAATGTGACATCTCAGACTCAGGCTCAGTTAATATGTGGGAGTGTAGTTGGGAGTTTTCTGTGTTTATTATGTACTGATGTTAGAATCTGGGCTATTAGGATAGGCACACAGGTACCCACCTACTTCATTACACTTCTAGCCTCCATTGGATAGCATTGAGTGGAGGTTGAGATGGCTTTTAGAGATACTATGACCTTTTAAAAACAGAAATTTCCCATTCTTTCTGGATGTCACATTTGGATTTGCTATGTTTACTCCATAAAGTCACGTCCTTCCCCCAATTTTTTATCCAGTAATGTATTAGTTTTTTTCTACTGCTATGATAAAACACCATGATCAAGGCAATCTATAGAGAAAGTCATTTATTAGACTTTGTGTTCCATCATGGCACTGAAGCTCAGCAGGAAGCTGCAGGCGTTGTGTCAAGAGCACGAATTGGGGTTTACCTCTTGAACTGCAAGCACAAACTAGAGAGTCTGAACTAGAAATGATGCAAGGATTATTAGTCTTAGAGATTGTTTCAGCGATGAGCTTCCTGACGATGTCTTGTCTCCTAAGCTTTACCAAACAGTGCCACCAACAGGTGACCAAAAATTTATATGGCTGATACTATGGGGGACATTTTTCATTCAAACCACCACAAGGGACAAACTCCTGACTCTTCCTATGCAGTCTTTAGTTTACCTACTTAGTATTCTTATCTATGGGGAACCTCAGTCATCCTCCCCCAAATGTTTATCCCCAGTATCACTCCTAGTAATCAGACCCAACACATAACTCTACCACTGGTCTTAGTAGGACTGTGCTCAAGAAAATCACAGTCTTTTCTAATGGCAGCCCTGAACTGTCAAAACCAAACTTAGATGCAAAATATTTTGGTTCTCTGAAAATATACAGAAGTTCATTCCTACCTTGTTTCCCTGAGTACTAGCAAATCCTAACCTTCTCAGTTTGAAGGTTGATTCTCTAGTCTCTCCATCCTTGTTTCCCTGATCTCTTTTGTCCAACTACAGAGCTATCCTGAAATGTGAATACAATATCTTCCAGCCCTGAGAAGTCTCAAATAGTGGAAAGGCCCTCTGGTGCAGTGTCCTCAAGGGCAAGTTGGATTTTTTTTGTTGTAACCTCCTGACTTTCTGTCCCCTTCATTAACTTTTAAATGACTTTGTTATTATTTTGTTTGTATGTGTATATATGTATATATGCATATATATACATAAGAAAGATATATGTATATATCCTGCCTGTATATGTGTCTGTGCATCATATGTATAATGCCCTCAGAATTTGTAAGAGGGCAACAGATCCTCTGGGAATGAACTTATCGAGGGTTGTGAGTCACTATATGGACACTGGGGATGTTTTCTTCTAGTATTTTCAGTTTTCACATCTCACATTGCGGTGTTTGTCTCACTGGAAGTCAGCTTTTGTGCAGAGTGGTAGATATTGGTCTAATTCACTCTTATACATGTGGGCATTCTGTTTTCCCAGCAGCACTTGTTAATGATGCTGTCTCTTCTCCAGTGCCTGGTTTTTGCATCTTTGTCAAATATCAGATGGATGTAACTATGTGCACTCATGTTTGGTGTCTTCAGTTTTGCTCCACTAATCTATATGCCTGCTTTTATTTTTTTTTACTAGTACCACACTGTTTTATTACTATAGCACTGTAATATTTTGAAATTTGGAACTGCAATCTCCCCCCCACACTGCATTCTTCAGTTTGCTCAGATATCTCTGGAGATTTGGTGTCTTTTAAAGTTCTATATTAAGTATCGAATT